ACCATTTTTACCATCAATTTCAGGATTTTATCAACAGAGTATTGAGTTGGAATATAAAACAAACAAAAGTTAGCAGAATTCAATCTGAACAGTGAACAGGGACATTCACTAGTACAGGTTATTATTTTATGTTGTGTGACTGGGTATCAATGGCTTTAATATATTTTATGTTATGTCTCTAATTGACATGCGGAAGAAAGATTTGCTTTGTAATATCTTTTATTAGACCAATTTTATAGCTGGAAAAGGTGAGAGCCTGAGGAAGTGACATAAGGAAGAGCATGTTGTGCCAGAAAGCTTTTCTAACATCTGTCTGAAACATATAGTCTAAAAATATATATTAGCAAACATCTTTTTTTCTTGAATGTTACCCCAAGCATCACAGGGACAATGCTACAATGTTGAAGATATCTAGATGTCTTCTGGGCTCAGCATTTAACTTATTGAAATGCATCCATGCTTTGATACTATATTGTTCGATGTATTTTAAATAGAGCACAGATCCAAAACATTAACATTCCTGTAAATACACACACATACACACAGTGTTTTAGACATGAAGCACATCTGATAAGATATGAAGTAGCTGATGATTTTTGAATACCACTTGTCTACAAGTTGTAAGAAACAGAAAACTTCTTTTTATATGGGCCAAAAACTACAAAAACTGAAGGGAACTCACAAGACCCAGGAAAACTACAGTGATGGTTTCAACTCAAGCAGTATATTTCCTTGTTAATCTAAGTGGGCTAAGTACCTCTGTGAGAAGCAGCAATCTGTTCTTATTAGGAAAATAATTTAACAACCCTTTCTTAGTGAAGACACACTTTACTGGACTTCTTCACAATATTTAATGGCAGTAGGCTGAATGCTTACTTATTGTACTTTATCAAAGCTCAGCTCTATTCAACTGGGGATTTGGACAAACACTGTATTTATTTTTGAGAGAACACACCACAGTTGTTTCAGTTATACATATTAGTCAGATCCTTTGTGGAATTAAGTTTTCCAGTAGGTGAATAGAACAGTTTTCTAAATTACACTGTGTGCGTCTAAATTAGACGTTTACTGCACAGTAAACTAATTAATAGGCTGTATGGTAAACATTCTTCGTGTCTACATGTACATCCTCATTAGGCTAGAGTAAACTAATTTACTCCACAGCAGTGCACATATAGACACTGCCCCAGCTGGCTTAGGCATGAGAGTGTTTCAGTGAGGGGGTTGCCTGCTGGCTAGCTCTGCAGTGAAACACCCTCATGCCTCAGCCAACCCCTCTGCAGCACGTTGAGCTGGGGAGACCTGGCTCAACATGCTGCACTCCTGGACGCACGTTCAAATGACAGTAAACTGGAGTTTATTGCTCCAGAGTGTATTGCTTCACGTTAATTGCACCTGTAGACTCACCCACTGAAAACCTGTTTACATTCTGAATGGCTCTTTTTCTGCATTGTGGAATGAACCTGGCATTCATTGATGTCAATAGCAACATTTTTTATTGATTTCTGTAATGTATGGTCAGGCCCTGTTGGTCGTAGCATAACCCAAGCAAGTGACTCCAAATGTACTTTATATAGAATGTGCTAGAAACATATTCAGTGAGAATCTAGCAAGAAGATTAATTAGGTTCTAATCATCAAATGCAAAGGGACACTCTTCTTTTAAACACAAGTGTTAATTATAAAGAATAGGAATCATTGCTAGGACTGTTCACGTCACATTCAACTATCTTTCCCAGCCAACATCAAGCAGAGATTAAAAACAAAATGTGCAAAAAACAAAAAAGCAAAAGTGTTGTTTAGATTTGAACAAAAAATATTCAAATTAGGTCTAAGGGGTAACACAAAATAGCAGGCACCAGGTAAATGTTAAGGTGAGGCAGATATTTTATCTTTAAGCCATCTATCTGTGGAAAATCCTGAATTAAATGCTCATCTTTTCTACTAACCTTTCCCACCTTTGATCAGTTTGTGTCGTGACCAAAAGCTTGTTTTAAAGTCTTTTTTTTCATCATCTTTTAAAGAAGGAAAGCAGGCTTTATGGAAAGCTGGAACATATACAGAGATATTGGTTCCCTAACACATTTAGTCGCAAAGATACATGTTTATACTTGTGAATAGATGTTGAAAGAACAAGAATTTTAATTTATAGTTCATATAGAATCATTTTATTAGTGTTTGTTTGTTTTTAAACCATATTATTGCCTTGAATTCTGTAATAACTTTAACTTCTTTGTTGGTGCATCTTTTACTATATTTATGTTTAATGTTACAAATCCTAGCATACTACTATTCTTTATATGCTATATGTACTGCTAATTTGAACACAGTGATAACTATATTCATTTGGTATGTATGGATTCAAGTTCTTCATTGAGGCAAATGCCTTTTAAATAAAAGTTTGAAATAAAACATCCTAGGGTTTAACAATTTATTTCTGTTAATAAATTTGATAGTGTGGTACTCATTTAACTCTTAAAATGCTTGTTTTTCTTCTTATATTTCCTAATGTTAAACAATAGCTTCCATATAAATAATACATGAATTGTTTCTAAAACTCACTGTCAAGCTGAGACTTGAATGATACATTACTAAACAGATAAAATATTTATGGCTTTGTAGCACTCGGTGTTTTTAATGACAAAACTGTCTAATCTGTAAGAGTAACACTACAGTAGTGCTCTTCGATACAATTATTATTTTTTTCTCTCTGCTGAAATATTGTGCATCAAAATAACATTGGAGGAGATTAGAAAAAATGGCATGCTGATTTGCAGCACTGTTCATATGTTCTGAAATATTCTACTTTTCACATTCACTGCAAATCCTAATACTGACTCAAGCACCATAATTTCTAGCTACTTCACATCTTTTTCGGAAATACATTTCTACAAGCTTTTACAAGGTGAAAAAGGTCAACATGAATTCAGGTGCTGTGTCAGTAAAGCATTTAAGCACATGTTTAAGTGAATCCTTAATCAAAAGAGCAGCTAACAAGTATTTTCATAAGCTGGTGATGGGGCTTCATTGTTATGTTGAGTAGGTCTTAAGTCAGTCTTTAAATACTTTGCACATTGTTTACTTAATTGACTAGCTCAGGGTTGTACTGGGGGACTGTAACACAGTTGGGACATGAACCCAGATCTCTTGAGACTTATTCTAGGTCACCATATTTTATTGTAAGTGGTTATTACAATATTTTAATGATTTTTTTTTTCATTTTTCAGTGTCTTGTGTTTGAAGATTCTCCCCTTGGAGTCAAAGCAGCATTGACAGCTGGGATGCAAGTAGTTATGATCCCAGATGAAAATTTGAATCAAGACCTTACAAAAGAAGCAACTGTGGTTCTGAAATCTATGGAGGACTTTAAACCAGAATTGTTTGGTTTGCCACCATATGACTAATCACTAGTATATCTCAATGTGTTCTTGGTTTGAGGGAACATCAGAGGTGGGGTAAAAACTCAAAGTACAATTTATCATTATTTTGATCACTATTTTTCCCCAAAAAACAAGAGGTCAGAAATCCTGGTAATACTGAGAGATTTTTCCATAATTACATATTAAATTTGACAAAATGATCATTGGAAGGTTTGTCTCCTCTTGCCTATTCATTATCTGTTCTCTGCATAGTATAATATACCCTCAGTGCATTTGTGAAAAGACAGGCTCCTGAACCTCTGTATGGAGGGTCTTCTGATAGCAGGCTGCTTGGAACAGTGACTCTCAGCCTTATCATTGCAGAACTCTACTTACTACAAGTTGGCTCTTTCCCTAATACAGTTTTCTCCAGGGTTACCATACATCCGGGTTTTCCTGGACATGTCCTCTTTTTTGGCCCCAAGTCCTCTTGTCACGGCAGGCAGGTTTTTAAAATGCAAACAGATGTCTGGGTTTTTCCTCTGTCCCTGCTTTTTCCCAGCACTTCCAACTTTGCTGCTTGGGGCTGGGAGCAGCAAGCCAAGGTGATTGGCTGTTGGAAGATCATGCGCTCTGTGTGGAGGCCCTGGCAGCTGCTCACAGGTAAAAGATACAGAGACAAAGAGTGTGTGTGTGCACACATGCATGCAAGCTGCATGGGGAGCAGGGCTGGGGGGGTGGGGGGCATGGGCCTGTGGGTTGGGAGTGAGGAACACCGGCAGGGGACTGTGGGTCAGGAATAAGGGGCCTGGCAGGGGTGGGGGGTTGGGAGTCAGGCATGAGGGGCACCGGCAGGGCTGGAGGAGGGGCAGGTTTGGAGTTAGAGGTACCAGCAGAGCTGGAGGAGGGGCAGGCGGTGCAGGTTGGGAGTGAGGGGCATCAGCAGGGCTGGGTGGGCAGGGGGCTGTGTGTCAGGCAGGTCTGGTGGGAGCAGGAGCTATGCGTCGGGAGGGGCACCAGCAGGTCTGGTGGGCGCAGGATACAGTCGGTTAGGAGTGAGAAGCAGCAGCAAGGCTGGGGGGGCTGTGCCTTAGAAGTGAGGAGCAGAAGCAGGGCACGGGCATATCACCCCCCCCCAATCATATATCCTTTCCCCTCTCCTCTACCTCCCTCCCATCCCCCACAAGTGTCCTCTCTTTTGATACTGGAAATATGGTAACTCTAGTTTTCCCAGCACAGGGTGCATTGTCTACAGACTATTGTCTCTTCCCCCTTTTATGCCCTTTCTTTTCCTCATTTTTCCTTCCATTGGTTGGTTTTCTTTTTTTCTCTTATGTCTTGTCTTTTACAGGGATTTTTCTGTTTGTTTTCACATTCTCCTGTTTTGTAATTTTTTTCTGGACTGGAGTGGGGGGAGGTTCCTGTTGACAGCTTCAGGGAATTCTTGTAGCTTAACTGAGTGCTATGGAAGCATACTCTGCCACCTTTCTGATGCTCCTCTCTGCCTTCCTTTTCCACCCCTTATCTCTGCTTTCTGACTCCCATCCTCATCTGCCCATTTTCATCTTCATATTAAACTTTTCTGTGCTTTGCACTCTGCTGTCTCAGCTACCTTCCCTGGGATCATCTGTAAGGCTTATACCTTTCCTGGAATCAAGTTCTGAAGATTATTCCTGTCATGTTGCTTAGATACAGTCCAACTGATATAATATTGAAAGTGTTTTTCCCAATATCTTATTTTTCCATTATTTGCCAACAACTGGGCCACTCTATTGGGATGTTCCTTTTAAAATCATTCTGTTTCTAGCTGAAATGTTGCATTCTTCAGAACAGCAACTCCATTTTCTGCATGGAAGTTATCAAATACATGGTGGTGCTACAAAAAACCTACCAAACAAATAATAATACCGACATTAGTGGTGGAAGATATCTAGAGTTCTGAAACACCGTCTTTCATTTTTATGCTGTAACCTCTATGGACAACTCTGCTGCAGCCCCTAAACTAAGAAACCGTGTTTTAATGGAGCTTGGCTGTTATTTGAAAAGCTTCCCTTTTAATTGGGCATCCCTAAGTTATTACTGATCATAGTAAAACATCTTCCTCTGTGAAGATGTGAAGCAAGACCTTCAGTATTTTATGAAAAAAAACTTCTCTAAATATTTTATTTTTACAATTCTTTCCTTTCTCATGTGTGTCTGTGTCTGGACCCACAGAAAAGACTTTAGAGGTTTAAACAAACTTTAGAGGTTTGAACCAGTGCCCATGGTTCATATTTTTTTTATAATTAGACTCACCAAAAAAAAACCTCAAATAAAAACTCAGGGATTAAATGTCTACCTGGCATCATTATTGCTCATGTTTTGTATTTATATTTTAATAACAGATGAAAACAGGTGACTGTTAGATGCCTTGTTAAAAATTTTAGATAAGACACATGGACTTTTTAATTATAGTTTTCCACTAAGTAAAGAAAAATCAAAATTTGTTTTGACTTATTCATTTAAAGCAGATTTGAAACAGTTTATTTAAATGAATACTGTAATTTCATTTAAAAAAAAATAAAATTCCTTCATCCAAACTATGAGTTGAATATGACTTTTACGGTATGAAATATCAGCAGGCAGAATTTGATAATAGTTTTAACCTATAGTGCATTTAATTAAAGAATCTCAAAGTGCTTTACAAGGTTACATGAATATTGTTTATTTGTAGTTATTATTATATATATTATATACTTTTTTTACAACCTCTTGATGTTTTAGTCGATAATATTTATGCTGCATCAGAAATCCAGTCAAGCTGATGTATTCCACCTCATGTTCTCATTCAGGGTAAGGGAACTGTTGTTGAACAGTATCTTCATTGTCCAATGTTGCATAACAGAAAGTGTTATACAGCAATAATTCTGAGCTTTCAAGTGTAAAACAGGTGCCTTTTGGGATTCCTTTCATTTACAATTGCTGAATTCCAGCTGGGAACTTGTTAGGTAGAACAAGCTCTAATAAGTTGTAATTAGTAACTTTTTCAAAGTATTGTAAGTGTTTAGTTTAACTGGGAGTTAAAGAAAAGGCATGTGTTGTATTTATACTGGTTTTGTAAACACATTCAAATAATCTGGGAGAATTCTTCTGGGTTTGTTCTCATAGAAAAAACTTACCCAGAGATGCATGTACAGAAATTTAAATGCTAAGGCCGGAAGTGCTGACACTGTGCAACCAGCGGGGATCCTTTACACACATTTCAGCATGCTCTTCAGGCTCCCTTAGACTGCTTGGTGACAAATGGCAGCAGTGCATAGGGCAGCCCTGATTGGCTCATACAGATTACCCATATTCAGCCTGTATTTCCCTGCAGTACAATGTGGAGATTGTGAAGGGGACATGTTCTGCTCCGTGCTGGAGCAGCACATTCCAGCAAGCATCATATTATATGCCTGGTGAGGGAGAGGGGGAGAAACCTGGACTACTCTGTTCTCTTCTGAGAAGAAGCCAGAGCATACACAAACATTTGCTGTCCCAAGAGAAACTGTTTCCTTGCTGTGGCCATTTTTACTGTGAGAGAAAAAGCCTGAATGTCTGTACACTCATGGTATCTCCTGGGTGAGCAGTGACGCTCCCAGGAAAAATTGAATGTTTGTGCATTCAATGTACAAACGTCCACAAGGGCAAATGTTGTCTCCAAGGGACTGTCACCAAATCACTGAAAAGATTTCTAAAGACACACAGGTTTAGATAAATATCAGCTACTTTTAACACAGCAACATTGCACTGCCATTGCCACTGTTAGATCAAGAAGTACAAATTCTGTATCCTTCAGTTCTGATTTAATTAATGGTCTCATCTTTCAGTGAGCAAATTATTGTACTCTAAAAACACATTTCCCTTAATTTAGCAGGAAATCTCATCCAATACTGCCTTTTTTCCTCTACGCTTAACACAATTTCAGACATTTTTCAAGTGAGTGTATTGTCCCAAATTGAAATCCTTCAAACTGAATTAGATTTCCTATTTGGCAAAAGCCCTCATAAATATTCTTACTGTTTACCATTGCTACTTGATCCTGGATTTGGTCTGAGATGTATCAATACTTCAAAGGGCTTAGCTAACTAAGCAACTAGTGTCATGGCTGTTTTCTTCTTCAGCCCAACTGGAAACCCAAAACTGCTAAAGTAGTATAACAGTTTATAACAATCTATCAGCATTAGCATCTGACAAGTGGATACAATAAAATTTACAAAGGTCCACATAGAAGAATATTTTATTCCTGGTTGATGATTTTCTAGCCTCAACAGATAGGCCTCTACCTCTCCTCACCCCACCCATCTCTTCATCAATACTGAATAATAGCTTTAGTTCTGTAGCAAAGTAATTGAAAACCTTTGGTCAGACAAAGAAACAGTTGGATACTTATTCCTTAGTGGTACTAGTCCTGTTACTGGTCCTTGTTGAGGTCAACAACTAGAATATGTGGGTGCTCCATCTGCAGTGATATGTAGCAGCCCTGGCAAAAACTAATCTAAAAATATGCTTGAACACATATCTTTTATCCATACCCAATAGATTGTCCCTGATTCATAAGAAGTCTTAAGTATGTGCTTGAGGACATTCCTGTTTGGGACAGCAGATGTTCACATACTTACTTTTGAAGACATACATAATTTTATTGATTTAATAGGAAGTAGCCATGAGAACTTTTATATGTGCTCTGGGGGGTAGAGAGAGCCATGTTTTAATGAGAGCGGCTCCAGGAGCTGGGTCGGGTCAACTCCATGCCTCCACGTAGGGCTTCAACTAGAAACCACACATGGAGGCATGGAGCCTGCCCAGCCCAACAGCATGCAGACCAGGAGCCATGGGGAGTCATGCATCATTGGGCTGGGTGGGCTCTCTACCTCCACATGCAGCTTCCCGTTGGAACCAGCCCAGCCCAGCCTAATGGCACACAGCTCCCAACTGCAGTGCCATGAGCCCCACGTGCTGGCATGGAGCCAGCCTGGTCTGGTTTGAAGGTATACACCAGCAGGCAGGCCAGGTGGGCTCCATGCCACCATGTGGAATTCAGCTGGAGCGGCATATTGCCGGGGGTCTGCCTGCTGTGTCCATGAGCGCCCCAAGGGCCTACCACCTGCTGCTTCCACCACCAAT